AATCCATCCCCTCATCCAGATCATTAATAAAGATATTGAACAAAACCGGTCCTAGAACCGAACCTTGGGGCACTCCGCTAGAAACCGACCGCCATCCTGACATCGAGCCATTGATCACTGTGAGCTTTTTAACCAGCATTTACATCCCTAATCTGAGTCCACAGCCTAAGTTTTCCTTAATTGTGCCCAGTAGCTTAGTTGTATCTGTCCTGAGAGTATAGCTTTTTTTTCCACGGTTCATGCCATGTAGCTGAGAGAAATGTACCGGTCAGGCCTATCTCTGGGCATATTTACACTGTTCTGAAACCAATACAAAATCAGCTAACCAGTTTCAATGTAATAAATGAATTAAGATGCGCATATTAATGTAACCTCAACCACACCCCGGGAAAAAGTCTTGAGTCCACAGATGGCCTTTGTACTGCGCTTTAAAAGTAATAGAGCTGGGCTCTGTCAAACGGAGCAGAGGAGCAAATTGCAGAGGTGAAAACTCGCAGCTGCAAATGCCTTGTCCCTACTCATTCCAATTGAGGGACTGTAAGCAAGAGCACATCAGCCGGTCTGAACTTGGATATAATCAGAAGATGCCTAGCGAGGTTCTCTGTTCCCAGCCCAGGGTATTGTAGAACTGAGACACGAACTGGGCCATCTGATTTAGTCCTTCAGCAAGGGCACGATTCTTCCCCATCACAGGATGGAGTGCTTGTTCTGTTTATCAACAGCTGTGTACTCAGCGGTACACAGGACAGAGAAACACTGTCCGTGCCTGGCAGTAGTAAAAGATGCACACAAGATGAGGCAGGAACACGCTGAGTTGGATTTATGTGGTGGGTGGTAATCTTATTTTAAATGTTTCAAATTGCCAGTTTCCTCCATTCTCCGTTGGAGGAAATGTTCTACTTTTTCATACAGCTTATGTTCATAAGGTAGGTTTCGTAGGGCCAAATCTTTGGGCATTGTCTGAGGCCACATCTACACTTAAGGGCCACGGCCAGAGATCACTCTTCTGGTGTTTGATTTAGTGGGTCTAGTAAAGACATGATGAATCAAATGTCAAGGGAGCCCCCGTCGAAACCAGTATTTCTTGCAGTTGCAAGGAGTAAGGGAAGCCGACAGGAGTAAACGCTTCCCTTGACCGCCCGCTAAGAAAACAGCGCCATGCTTGGCTTAAGATATGGTGACTCCAGCGATGTTATTTACATAGCTGGAGTTTCGTACCTTAAGCCGACCTCCTGGGTCTAGTGTAGACCTGGCCTGAATAACTCTGTCTAGCTAGAGAGGAAGAAGTAGGATCTAACTTGAACTCTTTTGGAAGGGTTTAAGCCTGAAGAATACAGTGTTTCCTCTGCAGTCTTCCAGCACGTACTCCTTGAGTTCAGAAAGCATTTTCTGTGAACTTTGAAGCAAACGGGTTAGCATCTGAGTTTAAAGTCCTCACTGTCATTGATCTTAAAATTTGGCACAGAGCTCTCCTTTCCTTCATTAGACAGAAATGATAGAGGAATAACACTCTTCAGACATTCCAAAGGATTCAAGTGCACTGAAGTCTCAGTGCAAGCTGGAATGCATTAGGTTTTAATTAAGTTAACTTATAAACAATCGTGTCTAATTATTATCATGATACAAATTAGTCAGGGACAGGCCAGTAGCTCCGTGTCCCCTTAAATGCAAGCGCTGAAGCTAATGTGCATGGTGCAGTTGCACTGCTTGAAGGGAGACCATGGAAGGGGTGCTGTGTGTGTGTCGGGCTCTCACGATGGATGATTTGAACCCAACTGTCGCTGGATGGGCCCCAACTGTCATTGTCCCTAAAGGTTCCATGTCTGGGTGCTGGCTTCTGTGTTTCATCACAGGGAGTCCTGCTCTGGGGGGCTGGATCAGGTCAGGCAGACTGGAAAGAGGCCATTTTATGTGCCCCTGGATTCTCTGCCCTGGTCCCCTGGCAGGGAGCCTGAGGCCCTCTCTTCACGTCATATGAGTGTGTGGCAGGACCACGAACTGAACCCAGCGCATGGGAAGAATGTGAGACAGTGGAGAATTGGAAGCTAGGAGACCTGAATTCTAATCCCTGCTCTGCCACTGACCAACTGTGTGCCCATAGGCAAGTCACTTCCCCTCTCTGGTCCTCTTTCCCCTCCCACCCTTTGTCTGTCTTGGCAGCCTGTACTGTACACTCTCTGGGCGCATAGCACCCAGTACAGTGAGGCCTTGATCATGGTTGGGACCTGCAGGAGCAGCTGTAATCCAAATACTGGCCCCCTGAATCACAACCTAGTACCTTAACACAGGTCCCCGCCTCCTCTCAACCCCGCTTCAGTGCGGTGGTTTACGGGTATGCTGCTTCAGCTGAACCTCGGGTCAGGATCAAGCCATGTGTAAAATGCCTGTCAGCCTTGCAGATACGGCCCAGGTGTTAATTCTCTCTCTCTCTGTGCTGGGGTGAGGCGGGCCAGCAGGTGGGGGCGCGCATTGGCGCTGAGGTGCCTCGACCATCACATCCGTGAAGCCTTGCCTGGCACCTGCTCTAGTGGGCTTTGCTCGAGCGAGTCTCTGAGCAAGCAAATGGAAGTCTAGCTGGGAGTTACAGAAGCCCTCCCTACACCTCACCTCCGGAGCGGGTGCCTCTGCATGCGAGCTCTGCCAGAGTGGCTTGCCTTTGGAATGTCTTTTCTTCTGTCCTAGTCAGCAGCTGCCATCAGTATCTCTCCTTCCCCAGTTTTGGCAGAGCTGCCAGATTGACAAGCTTTGGAGGCCCACCCACTTGCACTGATTTAGTGGTAGAACAAAAAGCCATGAAGTGGTGGCTGCCTTCCAGCCTCTCACAGCAAATCACAGGAACGTGCCAAAGTCCTTGCTGAATAAATAGCAAAACAATACCAAAGGTCCTGGAAAAGGCTGGCCTGTCATATTAGCAGTATTGTAGTGGCTTTCATAACGACATCCGAGCGGCCAGACTGGGTCAGACCAAAGGTCCAGGTAGCCCAGTGTCCTGTCTCTTTTTCGGGTGCCTTTGAGGGACTGATCAGAACAGTGGTAGAAATGTAGCCGTGTTAGTCCTGTTTTTTATCAGAACAGGTCATCTGTGAGTGATCCACCTCCTCTCACCATTCCCAGCTTCTGGCCGTTCCTACCCATCTTGGCTAATAGCCATTGATGGATCTGTCCTCCATGAACTTATCTAGCTCTCTTTTGAACCCTGTTATATTCTTGGCCTTCACCACATCCTCTGGCAAGGAGTTCCACAAGTTGACTGTGTGGGTTCTTTACTAAGCTGCAGTTAGTCGTCTTTTACAACACTGCCCGGGTGGAGATGGCATTCCCATTTTACAGATGGAAAAACTGCAGTCCAGAGAGATAAAGTGATTTGTCCAAATGAGGCACCAGATTCATCCCTGGTGTAACTCCGGTGAAGCTGATGAACAAACATTGGGAAAAGTGTCTTATCACTCAGAATTGAGGAGTGATTAGAGCTGGACTGTACTTGGATTCTTTTAAATTCATTCTCTCTCTCTCTCTCTTTCTCTTTGTCTCTCTTTGTAAGAGTGCAGGGGTAGGGAGCTGATTTGGGGCTTCTTAACAATAAGCAAACCAGTTGCAATATCAGTAAGGATAAAGAAGAAATTCAGTGGTAGCAACTCAGGCTATTGTGAAAAACTGTTTCTGCTGCCCTTCGCCAAAATTTTACTTTCAAAGATGTGGCAAAAGAGGGATAAACTTAGTCATAAGTGTGTCATAAGTCATGTGCTTATCTGCATAAATGCAACCCATCTGGTGTAGTTACCAATCCCACACGTGTATTAGCTATAGGCTGGTTGCGTTAATGAACGGCTAACTACGCAAGATACGCCCACTGCTGGCTTAGTACTTGGGCTGCCCAGTGATTTCAATCTCCGCTCCCCAACCGATTTTTCGTGTACTTTGGAGCTTGCTGCTTGTGGGCTCTGTGGCCTTGACATCACACAGAATGGCTGACTGGCCACGGGGTCCATTCCGCTGCTCCAGACTGTGGGAAGCAGTCAGACAGCGTTAGCATGAAAACGTACCCGGCGAGGATTGGCCCACTGGTCTGTTGCAGCAGCCAGTTTCCAGAAGGATTACCCAGCGCGTTCCGCCCTCCTCGGAGGGAGTTGATGCGCATGCAGCGTGTAATAGCAAAACCAAAAGCAGATCCTGTAAAGTAGGCCAAAGGCTGTTGACTGCAGGAATCGAAAGAGTCCTTTTGCTCCTATCAATTCACACCCCTCATCTTCCTAATTATTACAGGATACACACACTGGGCGTGTCCACTTAGGAGAATCAGGAGACCTTCCTTTGCTCACTAACTGGTGCCATTGAGACATCTCCCTCTTGTACCTAGATAGTGATCAGCTTAGAACTGTTCATCCCCATAAAACTCTGCCCCTCCTTTCAAGTGATGTTTTCAAGCGGCAGTGCTCCAGCCTAGCAGCAGTCCAGGGTTGGGGTATGCGTCAGTTCAACTCCCTCCTACCTTGGTCTTAATTCCAAATGGAAGGGGATTGTGGCCTTTGGAAGATCATTAGTGGTTGAGTTCTCCCAGGGGATTGCTGTTTCTTATGGGGTGAACAATGGTCCTGCTTTGTAAGAGTTAATCTTTAGCATATTTGATACTAGGGCCCTATTGTGTCTCCAAACACTAGAACAGCAGTTTTATTAGCACACCATTGTTGGGATTGAACTGGAGTTCCTGAATCACCCTATTTTTATGAGAGTTGAATTCTTTGCCCCTTGGTTATGGTGTAGCCCGTTAAAGCAGTGAGTTAGCACGTGAACCTTAGAGAAGATCGTTAGTAGGCTTATTATATTTGCCATGTGGACATTTCTCCTGCCCAAAATCTCCTGTTTAAAAAAAAAAAAATCAATCGCTTGCATGAGTCGACTGTAAGAAGCGGTTCACCCCGGGAAGGTGGAATCTGAAACAAGTCTGAGAAATGCCCCTTGCTAGGAATGAGAGTGTCACTGCTTTCCTTGTCTCTTTACAGGCAATATTTTACATCCGAGTTTTACATGAATTCCATCAGCAGACAGCCTTTCACAGAGCCGAACTATGCATCCGTAGGCCTCGCTGACTTCTTACCAAAAAATGGTGATTTTCCTCAGGTAGGTGCATAATTTGTTATGCCCACCTGTCTTTGGGCAAAATGGATCTCTTACAGGTTTGGGGAGTCTGAAAAGGCGGAGGGTCAGACTGAGGGCAAGGCCTTGCCCGTGTGTTAACTGACCAGTTTGGTCTGCATGTTTTTTGGAATTCTCTGATGCCGTGGGAGTATTTCATTGGCGTGGTGGCTGCGCATCGGTGATGCAAGTTACATGTTGGTAAATTGAAGTGACACACGTGCCAAAGGGAGTGCGTGCGCACAGAGATGTAAGTTAAAGAAGGCTCCCACTAACTCAACTGTACTGTCACTTAATCTCCTCTGAGCTAGGCTCTTCGGGGTTTCATCTCGTGTGTTGCATGTGCTGTTACCTCGCGACTTAGTAGGTCAGGCTCATGAACGGTGAGGTTTTATAGGGACAGAGCTTCTCTGTGAGGTGCAGCTCTCAGAACTTGTAATTCAAGGCCCTCTTGTTCCCCTGTGGAATGTGCTCTCCTCGGAGGCCTAGGTGTATGGGAGCTGATAGGAAAAGCTCCAGCCCTCCTGATTGGGTTGGCACCTCCAGGGAGCGACAGACTGACTCAACTGCCAAGGCACTCCCCGGTGTGAAGTGAGCTCCCCAGGAAGGTGTTGGAATGTTAGACTGGCCTCTGGCTGTGTTTGTGGAAAGTCGGTCAGGCGGGATTTGGGAACGACTTAGCCTGTGAAAGAGCTGACTTCTGAGAAATGACAAACCGGCAGAACCCTTCCCAGGAGCCCAGAGGTGTCTGGCTTGCATGCGTTCTTGGGCTCTGCGGGGGCCCCCTGCGCAAAACCACATGGAGCGGCCCAGCTGGCCTACCAAGGGAAAGGCCCAGTTGAAGTTAGTTCCGGAGCCTGGTCCCATCTCCAGACTGAGCGAGGCTGCCAGTCACCCCGGGCAGTCCGCACTGCGCCGAATGTCGTGCAACTTGCCCACCAGAATGGAGATGGCACTGGCCCCTTTCTCACTCCGATGAAATCCTGGGAGAAGTGCCGCCAAAGGAAACCTGTGAAGATGGAACCTAGTGCTGCTGCTGCCGCCAGTGTCACTCTGCCTCCTTAAACAGCCGTGTGGCCCGGAGCAGTAGCAGAATTTCAGCAGCACTGGGAATAGCAAATGCCGTGGCTGTACAGCCAGTACGGGAGGAAACGGAGCAGTTTGTACGCCCAAGTAGCTGGGATTTCCAAGCTGAGACCAAGTCAAATCCAGGAGAGCAAGTCCGATACTATGAGTGGATTAAAACTCCCACCCTGACTCGTTTTGACCATTATTCACCCTTGTAGCTGTGCAGGTATGGCGGAGGGGGGCTTTTGGTCCACTCTTGTAGTCCTGTGTTCACTCTGGTTTTGCATTCACTGGTTTCTTTGTTGTGCTTTGTGAGCCCTACTGTGGTGTGGGTGAGGATGTGGGCGTGGTGCCCGGTGGGGGATGGGATCTCTGGGGGAGAATTCCTGAGGGGGGGCAGGTGGGGAACGGCCTGACACCTGAGCTAGGTGGAGGATTGTCATGTGACACTGTGCCTGGGAATCTGAGCAAAGCAGGAGGCGGGCGGCCTGGGGGCTGTGAGCAGTTGCTGGGAGTGAGAGTTAGTGGGGGGGGGGGAGAAGGGAGTCTAGCTGGCCTGTGGGGTTGGGGCAGGGACCTGGAGCTGGGGCTCTGAGCCCCCCTTTCCCTAAGGTGGACTGTGCTGAATGCTCCTGGTTCCTGTAACAAGAAGTCTGCCCTACGCCGTGTCCCTTCTGTTCTACCTGCTGCCTGAGAGTCCTATCTGGCTGCGGAGGGGGGCACAGGGCCCGGGGACCCCCCACATGCCGTGACAGCAGGATAGAATAAGGGGACTCTGGCCTACAGCTTGAGTGTAAACTGGTTGCTCGTGGGAGTCTGGAATTTCTCCAACACCCCCAGCATTGCATGTTTGGTTAGATAACGTTATTGGCACTTTGTCCAGAGAGGGCCGTGGCCTGAGAGAGCCACTGGTCTGTGGCATGGAAATGCCGTGTCCTTAGAACTCTCCCCTCCTTCAGACATGAAGGCCTGTATTCGCAAAAGTGACATGGGTGGATGACTTGAGGCCTTGTTAGTGGAGGGAAGTGCTGAGCAGTTTCTAAGAACCAGGTCCCTTTAAGTTACCTCAGCTGAAACACCTACAATTACTGGTCACTTCTGAAACTGGGACTGAGTTGAATTTAAAACCATTTTGAGCAGTGTGTATGGTCACGAAGAAGCCAATTTACTGGCAGAATCAAGTAAGGACAGGATCTGTCTGCATCTGTGTATCTCATGCTGGTCATGCTTTGGCAAATTGAAGAGTCCTATTTTAGCAGTACCCCATCATGCTGCCATGTACTGCTTTTGAATGTCTTTTTTTCCCAGCTGCATGTGAATGCCACAATAAATGTATGAACAAGAAGCTATCTCCTTTGATAATCAGCCTTTTTCTCCTGCATGATTCATTGAGGGACATTTCGGCTGCGTGCTGTGTAGTGAATTTCAATGTCACGAACATTGGAGCATGACCGTGAACGAGTAGAGTCGGAAGAGTTGGTTGGTTATAAAGGAGAGATCATCTGCTCACAAAGGAGTGTGTCAGAAAAGCACATCAGAGCTGCAAAGAGCAAACCCGACACACTTCTCAACTCTCCTGCTCGGGAGAATATGGAGACGTTGTGAACGCGGGTGCACGTGTTGGGCTCTCTACAGCTGAGCTTCTGTTTCTAGTGGGTCTTTAAAGATCTACTGTGACCCACCTGTGGACTCTGGCTTTTGGAGCCTTGGGCCTTGCTGGCATTAGGATTGGAGACATGTCTCTGTAGTAGACCTGGTGTGACAGCAGATACCTGTCCCGCTGCTGTAGGAGCCAGTGTGCACCAGTGCCCTTCACCTCTGCTTCAAGTAAAGACAAACCGCACCAGGGCAGATCACATTTTATAGAGGATTTGCCCGTTTGTGTCCTAGAGCCAGCTCCCCACGAGCAGGACTGGCTCCGGGGAGCCACCTCCCTCCCATGCTGCTGCCTCTGTTGGAAGCTGCAGCACCGGAGGTGGGGCAGGGAGGCTGCCGCGAAGCCTGCAGTGACTATAAATGGGGCCCACCCCCGGTGCAGACAAAGGTGGATAAATAAAGGAACCCGTATAGCAATAGACTAGCCTGTTTTGCAGGCCTCCATGTTAGTGAGTCAGTCAGTAGGACTTGGCATAGGCATGGCTGGTGTGGATTTGCTGCTGGGGTCAGTGGGAAGTGGGCTTAACTATTCAATGTATTTATTTTAGAGGTTTAAGGGGTTGATGAGTTTCCTTCCTCTGCTACCTCATGGAAATAGAGATCAGCCAGCTTGGCAAGAAGCTTCTTTGGAGAATCTCTGCTAAAGGGTTAAGCTGCCATAAATGCTGGAGTGTTTAGATTAGCTGCTGACGCAGGGGATGAGCATGGAAAGGCGAAAAGAACCCTTTTCGGTTTTTTTAAAGGCCTGCACTGCAGACAGAGTATGACTCATCCTGTTGAGAGGCCTTTCCGCTGGGCCTGGCTTTTTGCCCGACACCAGAGAGGATTCTGTGCAAAGGTGATGGTTCTCCGAGTCCTGCCCGTGGCACAGCGCACGCTTTGGGCCACCCTATGGTGCAGCACCGGAACTTTGGGCCGGGGGACGACTTTGGCTTGAGCCAGTGGAGCTCAAGGAGAATCACAAAAGTGCTTGAACTCTGGCAGGGTGGGGAGGAAGGAAGCGTCTGTGTGAAGATCTGACCAGAACCATTCGATGCAATGAACCTGGCGGAGTCTCTCCCTGGCTGTCCCACTGGGCAAAGCCAGAGCGTGACCATGAAGGCTACCGGAAGGGGTCATGGTTGTGTTTGTCTGAGTGCCAGCTTGGGGAGCACCGTGAGGGGGAGCAGGCATGCAGAGAGCCTGGATGTAAAGGGGTCAGGGAAATACTGCTGCCCGAATCTCCTGCCTAAAAGGGGCATAAGGGGTGCAGTAGCCTCAGCCAGAGAAGCCTGCCTCCACTGAGAAACTGGGCAGAAAGCCCAGCAAGTGGGTACAGCGGACAAACCAAGCGACACATCCATCTCTTGTGTTCGATAGCTAGTGCTGCCTCAACTTCACAGACGTGCAGTATGGTGCCAAGAGGTCCCAGTCAGGCTCTGGGGCAGTCCAGACACCACGGTCTGTCTCCCTGAGCTCATCCACAGGTGTGACTGCAGCTTGGAGAGAGCTCCACTGTGGCTTTACCCACACCGGCATGGCTAAAATAGCCTTGTAGTGCCACAGGGCAGGCTGGCTGTAGGGGCCTTGTGAACCTACTTGTGTTGAAGCAGCCCTTCCCCCTCATCTCGATGCCTGTTGTAGCCATGCAAGCACAGAGAGCGCTAGTGCGGGGGTGTCTCCAAGCAGCAGCCACACCTCCGGTTGCAGGGCAGACCTACCCGAAGATGCCCCGCCTGTAGCAGGCTGGAAAGCAGCCAGGTCCTTTTGCCTCTTTCTCTCCTGCCTATTTGTTTGTTTGTGCCCCCGTTTTCTCTTTCCCAGTCCGTGCATGCTGGCCTGCAAGTCAAGGGAACACGCTCCCCTTTCTTCTTGCCCTAAAGGCGTTTGGGCATTCTGGGCCACGAGTGGAAGGGCAGGAGACTCTTGCCTTGCTTGCTGCTCTTGAGAAACGGACTCCTGGGACGCTGTCTGTGCCTGTGACCAGTAGTTCCCAGTGCCTGTTTCATTTCGTGTCACGCTGCGTTACCCTGTTGTTTCTTCAGTTGAAAGAGCCGCTTGGGCTGGCGTCTCCGCTCTTTGTCTTTTGCTTGAAAATACAGAACCTATTTTTCTTAAACAGTGCTTAACGCTTGCGTCCAAATCTCAGCCGTGTTGCGCATTGGCTGGAGAGCTGGTTTACTGTTGTTTTTATTGAGCACGGTCGGGATGCTCTGAGGTTTGAAGATGAAGTTCATGGGACCTGTCTCCGGGACCTTCCAGTTGATTTAAACGGATAATAG